CTTGCGTGAAAAGTTTGCTGGAGCTTGTGTTGCACTCGCTTTTTCGAGTCGTCTCGATTCGCTCGTTCGTGCGCGTAGTAGTGGCGTAGGTTGCGTGTACACGTACTGGACGCGACACGTCGTAATAAGCGTAGTGGTTGCGCTTCGCAGAACATCTGCAAGCAGGTCACCGCCTCCGGCGGGGGAGGCAGGAGCACACGAGACCTGGTGACAGTGCCACAGGACAATCACCTTCACCGAGAGCAGAGCAGGATGTGCTGCAAGATGTGCTGCGCGAAAGCACGAAGTGAGAGAAAGGCCTCCTCCCATAAAGTGAGCTGCAAATTTGTCGCATTGGAAACCTGACAAGATCTTTCAAACGCGGCCAGGCATGATGCGGCGGATCCGTGCAGGGCCCCATGAACACGAAAATAGGTGAAGCAGAGTGAGACGCCGTTTCATAATTCTGCACACTGTAGCACTGTCCAGCTCTCAGGCCAACAAAAGCAAAAAGCAAAACGAATTTGAGTGGCACTCTTGAGACCAACACATGGGCAAGTTGCGCTGTGCCTTGCTTTGCATGGACCTGGCCGAACCTGTAGTGCACCCCATTCTCGGGTTCAGTATGCTCAGGCATTTCCACACGCAGTGCACCGCTGAAGGAATACACTCCTGCCCATGCGCAGATTGCGTCAAAAGGCAAGTTCGCCCTGGACGTCCTCCACTGAGAGCGGCTGGTTGTGAATTCATTGCCCCGTTTCACCACTGTTGGCCTCTCTGCACCTTTTGCTCATTTAGACTCGTACGGACTTTGAGTCTGACCCTTGGTTCTGGCTTGTTGGTTGTTTTGGTTGGTGTTTTTTGTGTTGGTGTTTTGGCTTGTGCTGCCTGTCTTGGTTGTCAGGCTCATCTCACGAAACCCCCGACTCGGTGACTTGTGTCTCTCGGCACACATAGCGCTCCTACCCGTGCAAAAAAAAAACTCTGCTCTCGGTAAAGAGCCGTGGCGGTAGAGTCTGGACTTGCTGCCTTTGTGCCTCCCCTTTGTGGAGAGGAGTAGGAGGTGCAACTCCTCTGCCTCTTTTGTGTTTGAGAGCTCGCCCATGGCATTGCACTGTCTTCGCTTTCGGTGTCTCCTTCATGCTCTTACGCTGAGCCTGACTGCAAAGAACCTTGGACTCAACTAGCTGTTGCATGAATATCCACTTTCGAGCGCTGCGCAGCTGCCCAATGGATGTGCCAGTCTGGCTCATCCTCTTGACAGTTCATTGATGGACAAGAACCACTGAGAGCTTTTGCTGAATTCACTGCCCCTGTTTCACTCTTTTTGACCACCTGGCACCTCGAGTTGCACTACAGGTTGCTCTCCTTCCTTTTTTGTGTTGTGTTGGGTTTGGTTGTGTTGGGTTTTTTTTGTTTGTCCTGAAACCATAGGAATTCTGCCTGCGGCGTGGGCATACACGCCGATTGGATATCTTTGTGACATCTTGCATGGGTTCGACAAATGCTTTGTCGACCTACAGCGTCATCCTCACCGTTTGAGATCTATAGGGTTCAAGCTTCCCCTTCACAATCTGCTGTTCATTTGACCCTGAAGCATCACTGACTGTGCATGGGATACAGTCTTCCCATTTGATGGCTCCTGCCTTGAAGTGCAGTCCACGCTGTGAGAATTCACGCGCGTCCCATGCCGCCATGTTGCGTAGCGCAAGTCCTTGATGGTGGCCTTCCCGCTAGTCTGGCCTTGCCTGACGCGCAACCCAGGACAAGGATCCGACTACGCTCCGTAGTTGAGCGTTTTCTGCATCATTTGCTAGATCTGTTCTTTTCAAGTCTGGTCTGTATTTCACTGATTCGATCTTCTCTGCTGTTGCAGTGCAGGTGACCTTGATGTTCCTCTGTTCGTCCTGCTCGATCTCACATCCACAAAATCGGAAATTCTTTTCTGACACGCTTCCAAAATCTTTCGACATACTGCTGAAAAACATCCTGACTTCGCGGCAAAAAGCAGGTCATCAACGTGACATGCAACCGTCGCCTTGATTTCACCATCTTCTTCATAGATGAACAATGTCTGTCAAAACTTTCTTCAGCTTCGCCCAAAATCTCCTTCCAGCATCTCTAGTGCCGTAAATCGGCACCCGTGCCAACATCGTTGCATCAGTCTTAAGCGCAGTTTGTCACATTTTGCCCGACTAGTTTGCCCGTGCCTCTTCAAGTGCTTCTTTGACTGCCATTCCACAAATAAGTGGGAACATACAGCTCATTAGTGCTCGATGACGCAGCCTGCCTAAGCAAGCCCACTGACCAAGTGTCATGACATGCCAGCAAGCACTTCGCACCGCATCTCGGATGGCCCATCCGTGGCCCTTTTGCTTTAATTCACTGCCCAACCATCGTTTCACTTGGTGTCTTCACGTTTCACTCAGGCTTCACCGTTTGCATGTACATTGCAGAGTCTCCAACGTGCTCGGTTTTTGGTTTTGTGTGTTTTGGTTTTGTTTTTGGGGCTTTGTGCTTGTTTTGTTGCTGTTTGCCCTTAGGAGACTCCCCCTAGAAAAATCGCACAAGCTGACCTGTGCATCTTCTGCTGAACGGCAGCTCCACCTGCATGAATGGCGCGCAAAAAAAATGCCCATCGAATGTCCAATGGTGTTCTATGTTCAAGACCAAAATTTTCCACCAACGTGCTCGGAACAAACAACGCTGGCTTTCGTTTTGCAGCTTCTCAGGGTGTATCTTCACGGTCAAGCACCTTGTGCTTGACTCACCTGGTTTGGCTGAAGAAAGAGAGCGTAGCGCAAAGTTTGTCGTTTGTGCGGTGTGTGCAATCTTTCGCCCAATGCTTTGCCCCAAGAGACTTTTTGCGGGGTGCTCAAGTCCCGGGAGGAAAAATGTAACATGGACATCCGGTTTTTCAATCTTTAGCATCGTTTTTGCGAGTGGTTGACGGAATTTGTACAACATCAGGCGTTTCCACTTTACTGTTCAAAAATTCAACAATGACCAAGTTTGCAGCAAACCCATGCAAGTGCAAACACCTTTACCCTAAAACCCCCTGTCGATTGGCGGGGGGCTAATCGTCCGTCCAGGTATTTTTTTTTGGGTATGGCAGGGAAACAACCAAGAGATCATAAAGGGTCTGTTAAGTTGGTTTGATGCAGACAATGTTGTTTGTAAGACCACCACCACCACCACCATCACCACTGAGTTTTTATAGATGACATATTTTCCACCCTTGACAGCGGGGACTTGAGATATATAGATTCCACACAGGCATTTTTCAACATGTTTTCTGAAACCAACATGTATAGTAAAGTTGTCGAGTTGTCAAACATCACGCAAACATGTAAAGTCAGAATTGATTTGTTTTTGATTCCATTGTTTTCGGTTCCGGCTCCAAGTCCATGTGTGGAATGGGGAAATGTAGGGCATGAAATGCTGGATGCTGCAGAGGCATTGTTACTCACTGCTGTTTTGAGGCTTGTTTCTGTGACGCACTGCGGATTTTGCAATTTGTTTTAAAGGCAGCATCGGCTTTTGCCCTGCAAACCCCACACATGCGGTGAGTGGAGGTGCCTTTGGGAACAGTCTCGGAACTTTACTTGGATGCCAGTCGTTTGTAATGTCTCCAAAGCAGTTGTGTGGCTTCAAGTGTGACGCAGCTGCGGTGTTGGTGTGGGGTACGGTAGTAGACCACCTTTCCGTTCACCCAGGCATGCTCAGTGTGACTCCATCAGCAGGATTACCAGGACAACCAGAGCATAGTGACCAAAGTGTCAAGAATTTGTACGAATGTATGCCATTGGCAACGGTCATGTTTATGTGCTAGCTTTCGTTGGTGCCTTTGGTCCCAAATTCTATTCGAGGTATAAGTAGAAGAGCTTCAGCTTCGTTCAGCTCAAGTTCCAGTTCAACCAGCAGTTTGAATCCTGGAATATCCTGTGAAGAATCGTCAGCTTCTGGCCCGGTGTTGAGGGCCTTTGACTTGCAAATGAGGCAGCGGCGAACATGCCGATGAGGACGATGAACTTGTGCGACACTTGGCAGATGTTGCGCGCCTGAAATTGTTCCCTTTGAGTGTTGGCATCAGGCAAAACAAGCAAAAGGAACCGCTAGACGGCGGGTATCCCTTGCTGAACCTTGTCAGAGTTTCAGACAATTTTTATTCTGTTTGATGCATCGTCACAGGTGTTTGGTTTGTTTTCAGTCCTTGCACTTGGAATCCGGCGTTCATTCATTGTAATATCCGACCTAAATGATAAGGAGTGATGACTGAGTGTTTTTCATTTGAAACGCAAGAAACTTAGGATGAAGCCACTCATGTGTTGCAAGTCCAAGCAGCAGTTGAAGCAGCAGATGATGCTGAAGCGCAGAAAGACCCTGGATGCCTGAGAAAGGTGAGCGGTTCAGTTGGTCTTTCAGCAGTTCCAGGGTTTCTTGGAGTCTTTTTTGGGGATGTAGCTTGTGTGAGCCGCTGCTAAAGCGAAAATGTGACTACTACATCCAAGGACACAGACTATATATATAGTCGCATGATCGAACCTGTTCTTAGGCGCTTAGGTTTTTGGGAAACCTATACAATATAAGTTTCCCTAATCCTTAGTGCAAACGCTTCTTCAAGTAAGCTCCCCCCCGCCTGAGGGGGGAGCTTCCTTGAAGAAGCGTGAACTATCCTGTGTCCTGGGTAGTAGCTTACTAGTCGCTAGTAGATAGTAGCTACCTTGCCTCTACTAGCTACCTCTAGTTACCAGCTCCATCGTCTACCAGCCTACCCCCCCCGGCTAAACAAAATTGGTTCGATTCTATTCTATAAACTGCTTTCGATGTCGATCATTTTCTCTCGCTTTGAAGCTGACTTGGCGTCACGATCCCCAAAGTGGCTGGCCAAGTTTGATTCCGATTCCATGGACACTTCTTTTTCTACGTTTCTTTTTTGATTTTGGCATTTTACGGGCTGTAGTGCCGCAGTAGATCTTGCGCAGACTCGAAAAGAGCCAGCGTGTTGAAGATCAAGCCAGGTTTGTGCCACTGGCACTCGGAAGTCACTTCAGGCAGCTGACGCCTTAGTCAAGTTTAGGGGCTCGGAACAAGAAGGTATCGGTATCGCGGTGAAAGGTGAAAGTTGTTTGAAATGCTTCATGATAATGTTCAGTGCTCTCTAGGAGACCGGATGAGGTTGTTCGCAGCCGCCCCTTCGTCCTGACAGTGGCCTTTATCATCACAGCCAATGCGGCGGAGCACCCAGGAAGATGAAGGACGATGTGTCAATTTTGCTCTGCAGCTTTGCTTCGCTTTGAGTTGCTTTGCTGTGTCCAACACTGCCCAGGTCTACATGGGAATAGAAGTGGATGCAAATCCAGGAGTAGTGCAGGATGGGCAAAGAGTGGATCAGTCAGGATGGGCAGCTGTGGAGGTGGGGCGGGCCATACAATTTCAATCACTCTCAGCTCGTTCCATGGTGGTGTGTTGTCTTGAAAGTATGTGGTGCGGTGCGGTGTGGTGCGGTGGCAGCAGAATTGATTGAATCCTTGTCAGATTCTCTTTTCTGTCATATTCACCATTGAATTGATGCTTCGATTGATTGTCAGGCTCTTGGCTGATAATTTCCATCACCTCAAGTATTGATCCAACAAAACCAGTGCTGAGGCGACTATTCCTGCCAAAAAGTTCTTCTACAGTGGCTGGTGCGCTTTATATATATTGTTCTGCGAAACTCCTGCTGACCACCGAATGATCCTGCCCTGCATGACACGGAGTCATAGAGGAAATTCATATTGGTGCCAGGAACTTATTTGATTTGCTCATTGTGGCAGTATCAATTGTCAGAGTCTCGAATTGCCTTGGTTGTGATTGTTGCCTTGCTTGAAGTATGTGCTGTAATGACCTCAGCTGTTCATCATTCATGGTTAGTTTTGTAGTGACATTTTCAATAGTTGCCTGCCTGCAAACACTTCTAGTGTTTCACAAGTTTAAGAGCTCATGTGTCGATAACTTCGATAATACATTTCTGGATATCGAGGTGGACAATATCGTGACCATCATTTTGAGGTAGGGGCACAAGAACATCAAATTCCTTCTCAAGCCTTAGCTTTCGGCGCATGTCTTCTTTCACGTGCCAGGAATGCTACGGAGCTGGGTAGCTTTTCATATCTACGTTTGCTGCGGCTCATCAGGGTGATTCGCGTTTTCAGGCGAACAGATTTTGGTTTGATCGGTTGGCATTCATTAAATAGCACGTTCAGTCTTCTTCCATTCTCACCATGGAAGCGGTTCTCATTCGGATTTGGCTCAGAAAGTGCTGGAGGCTCCTGCGTGTGCTGGGCGGGCTTTGGAAACTTGTCCGTGGCATTTTGAATGCGGCATGGACGCTGGTTTGGACGTCGATTGCTCATTAATTTCATGAGCTTCTGCCTTTATCCTCATTTCATGAACTCCAGTTTTTCCACATTTTTTGTGTTCAGGTGGGTGCTGTTGGCCATTGTCATCTACATTTTCAGCATTGTCTCGACACGCTTGATCGGTCAGGCAGCAGACCCAGGCACTTGCAGCCACTCTGTTTTTCTTCTCTTAGATAGGCATTGTTATTCCTCGCCGGTTCGAGTTCAAGCTGTGCATGGCTGGTGCAATGCGGACTTGTGGATGGTTGGTTGAAGGAAAATAGCTTTCTTTACCTAGACTGCACCATTTTGGGGCTCGTTTTGACCACGAACCCTTCTTTGCTTGGGCGTGGCGTCTTGACATCGTGAATTATGGACCAATGATTGCTTAATTGAAATATACGGCAACAAATTAATTACGAAAGCCAGCCGATAGGCTAGGCTTGAGCTCTTAGAGCGAACGAAGTGAGTAAGGGGTGTTGGGGGGGAGGGCGCGAAAAGGCACCATTTGAGAGGGTGAACCCGGAGCTTGGTGGGGGATAGCGCTCTAAAGCGAGGGTCAGAAAAGCAGTGAAAATGAAGTTTGGTGATGCGAGCGATGCAATATGACAAGTAGTGCATCATTAGCATAATGAAGTGATTTGGAGACATTTTTCTAGTCCAGAGCAGGGCATAGGGATTGTGTAGCTCTGATCATACCAAGAAGGACCAAGCAACCAAGAGTGAACGCCCTGGGAGCGAACGATGTGAGCATGTCCAGTTGGGCGAGGTAGAGGCTTGGGGATAAGAGCGCCGCAAGAGGAGAAGCATCAACACTTCATGCTGTGCACCGATCTTGATCTCAGTCGCAGTGATACCAGCTCCACGAAGCTACAAGTTTTCAACTATAGGTGCTCTGGTATTTTTCCTCCCAGCCTTGCTCTCTATAGGGCTTCGCATTGATGCACGATACCCGAAACACATTTCAACACAACCGCAAAAACCATTTCGGGCATTCATGCTGTGCTCCGATCTTCATCTACGTCGCAGTGATACCAGCTCCACGAAAACTACAGCCATTCAAGAATGAGTGCTCTCCTCTTTTTTTCTCCCAACCCTGCTCTTTATAGGGCTTCGCATTGATGCACGATGCCCGAAACACAACCAAAATCCACCTTTCGGGCATCCTTCGCCTGGTCTTCACTGACGTTTATTTTTATACGGATTCTCAAGTAGACCACCAAACAGGGACCCTCCAGAGCACCGCGCCAGGAAAATCGAGAAAACCTAAAACATTAAACACTTCATGCTGTGCTCCAATCTTGATCTACTCCACGTTGATACAAGCTCCACGAAAGCTACAGGCATTCGACAATAAGTACTCCGCTATTTTTTCCTCCCAGTCTTGCACTACCATATTGGTCTCTCGCTGGCTTTCGTCCTCTCCTTTCTCAGGTAGTATGTATATGTAATACAATCATCTGGATGCATTACCCAAATTTTTCACAGAGTAGATCCTTAACCAGGAGTTCTCTTCCGCTTTGGCACGCCAGGTAATGGTGAGATCAATAAGTGGTTCGGGTCTGTGATAAGGCAGGAGTTGATTGATCTCAACTCAGGGAACGCTGGTTGGCACACTGCCAAGTTTTTCCTTGATGCATAAATAGCGGGGCCTAGGCATCCAAAGATCACATGCTCGGACATATTGATGTTTGTTGTTATTTCACTTTCGCTGCTGTTCAGATTCAGGGACCGAGCGACGACCGCTTGCAAAGTCATTGCTCTTGCTTCTGCTGCCGGCCTTGTTTCTGAAATTTGTTTCCTGGGATGAACCAAATTGATACAAATTGCATATCTATAGGTTGAACTCAAGTTTAGACTTGTGCCAACTGAGATATTAGGAAAGCTGATTGTGCACATGTGAAAAGATTTCAAATTTAGGTTTGGTGCTGCTGGATTGCAAAACTGAGATTAAAGCAAGTTGATAGGCAGGTGCATGGTACCCCATGCTGCTAGAAGAGCAATGGACATTTAGCGCTTCACAAAGTGGAGCACACTAGCTTCAATTGCCATGGCTCTTTAAAGATTAGTACTGTATGGGATCTGTCGTTCACAATAGTCATGCGTCTTGACTCTTCTTGCTTGTGCAGGAGCATGCTAACTCTTTTTCAAGCGACCACCACGGAGGGCTGGGCAGACATCGCCAGAGAGGCCTGTGGTCCCATTCGCTTTCATTTGATTTGCTTTGGGCAGATGATGATTTGACAAGGTGATGAAGACTCAGCCTTGGTCTGCCGGTTTCTTCATTTTGTACCTTCACGTTTCAGCCTCATTCTTGCTTGTCGCTAATGTCATTTGCCAATGTGCTTTTTCAGAACGCCTCACAAGCTATAGGCGACACACGAAGACGAATTCCGTGTTTGTCCGTTATGTATGAGGTCACCACCTTTGCCATTCTCAATGTGATGATTGCGGTCATTGTGGAAAGCACATTGGATGAGGCTCACAAGCGGAAAAGGTCTTTTTCCAAGTAGGACGCGTCAGTCTCCACAGCTTAGGCTGACCAGAGCAAGTTGAAGTCAGCAGAGAAACGGTGATGGCCTCAGCATTCCTGTACATTGAGGACCTTTACACAGAGAAGACTAATATGATTCTAATGTTTTGGTCAAAAAGCCTTGATGCAGAATACTGTAAGTTACAGTAGAATGAATAAGACTCCTTCAGTACTCTTGCATTCGATGCAACGCATCCAGGCTTGAAGACCTTCGGAAAGCCTACGAGAAGATTTACAAGGTCAGATGAGAAGCAAGCCATTACAGCAGATTGACTTCATTCGAGTTCGTTAGTTCCACCTGTACTTATATATATATATAGCTATTTGTGCATGTATCTTAGGTCTTTCTAGACGGTGATTGTGATCAAGATGGGGCTCCTTGAACTACAATTGGCGTAAGCCATGCACAGGCACATGAAACAGATCATGCTGCAAGCGTTAGAATTTATATTTCCAAATAGCTTTTAGATGAATTTGCTCTCGTAGCCACATCTAGTATGAGTTGAAATCAATTGTGTGCTTAAAGTGAGTGAACAGTGCCCATGTGCATATCCTTGGCCTCAGACACACTCAGGTTCTCACCAAAGACGAGTTTCTTCAACAGATCGAGCAGCCCAAAGTGTCCAAGTCACTTCCTCAAGCCCGGATTTGGCCAATTGGCCAATCTGGGACAAGCATAGGAAGAGCTCCATGTTTGCGTTTTCGAGCTTGGGTGCTGGTGCCGCTGCTGTATGCGCTTGGGGTGCGCTTGGGAGCTTGTGCGGGTGCCGCTGCAGGTTGCTGGCTGTGTGCGCTTGGGAGCTTGGGGGCTCCTTGAAAGCTTGGGTGCTGGAGCCGCTGCAGGGTGCTGCTGTGTGCGCTGGTGCTGGTGCTTGGGCGCTGGTGCTGCTGCAGGCTGCTGCTGCTTGGAGCTTCTGTGCTGGTGCTGCTGCCGGATGTATGGCAAGGTGCGCTTTGGTCCACATAGTTGTTTTTTTGCTATCTGTGGTCTATGCTGGCCTAATTTTTGCCTCAAATTTTCAAACCAGACGACTCAAGCGCTAGGCGGCCCTGCAGGTATTTTGAGGAGATCGGTATAGACCCGAATGAAGCAGAATACCTCTTCACGCCGGGATCTCTCAGAACTTCTTTTTGGCTCAGCAGAGTGGGAGCTTGAACAGCGTAATGCAAGGATTACATGGAATGGAAAAAAATCATTGCGCTGCAGTGCCCTTGTTGCTAGAATTCTGGACTACGACGGCAGTGGTTGCCTTGATGCCTCAGAGTTTGTTGGAGGACTCTTGAAGGCCAGCAATGAACTAGCACCAGAGCAAAATGTTTTTGCAAGCCTAGCTTCTGCATTCATTTTTGCGACGGTACTGCATCGTTTTGGTTTTTCCAATGTCTTAAGCGTCAGTGTAGTGGAGTGTGTGGAGCGCAGGTGATAGGGACCGCCAAAGCCAAAGACATTATGGCAGTCCATTGCGAATTGCGCCGCTCCGAAAAGGAGGCTGCACATATGAGAACAGTTTTCGATTTAGACGGAGTCATGCCTCTCTTTTGAATACCAAGACGACCCGTCGCAGGGTCACCGGCAAATAGCGATGCTAGAGCAGAGCATAGATCGCCGCATGGAGCTTGTTGAGACAGGTGGATCACACTTCTTCAATTTTTTTCTGTTTTGTAGCCTTCTCTTACTTCAAAGAAGCTCCCCCCCGCCCTAAAGGCTGTTGGGGGAGCTTCATTGAAGAAGCGCTCGCAGTATTCATTTGGTTCCTAGGTTCATTTGTAGAAAGCTGTATTTCTCTATTTTGCCCAAAGCAGCGTTTGTACAAAGGGCTTGAGTATGCCCTGGGAGCCGGTAGTGTCAACCGTCCCACATCTAAATTTTGGTGATGCTCACCAGGTGTTGACACCCTGCGAGATGAAGTCCATGCACTTGCTTTGGCAATTGGTGTATCACTAGAAACTCGCACAGGCCCAAGTTGCTATGAGTTTTGGGTGCTTTCCCGTTTGGCATGTCATGAGCTTGACCAAGGTCCTGCATGACAGAAGGGAAGAGCAATCAAAGCCTCAAACAGTTTGATCCTTAGACCTTGAATCGACAATGTGCACGTGTAACTTGAGTATTCTTGGAAGTGCAATGGAAAGACTCATTTTCGTACACTTTGCAGCTGCTTTTGAGCTTCGCTGGAACTGGGATTGGAATCGTATATTTTGTGATGCTTCTTTACTTTCTTCCGCTTTTCACGTTCGTTTCATGGCTTGCAGATATGCTGGCCCGAGCGTATCAGGTCTATTTCTGGCTGCCTTTTTGAAGAAAAGGTGATCGATGGTTAGAGTCACGTCAGATTGGAGCTTTGAGTCAATGTCAGTCACACGTATTTTGAAAATTTTTTTCGACCGTGATTCAACCAGACATGTCTCAGTTCAAGTTCTAAATTCAGCTGGGGTGCAACTTTGGTAGCACCAAATTGCGAAGCAATTTGCTGGTTTTCCACGGGTCATGGCGACCGCCCATGCCTGGCCCATATGGGGCACGTCGACAAAAAGGAATGTGGTCTGCCTCTGTGATAGTGTGTCCCTGATATTTTGGTGAGACGCCTGTAGCATGTTTGCCACCTATGCCCACACAGCCTGCTGAGATATCAAGCCGGGGGGAACTAATTTTGATGTGCCTTAGGTAGACCATACAGCGTCCCAGTACCAGTACCATGCAAGCCTAGCCTGCCAAGATGTGCAAGCAGAGACCTGGGCCTCACTGACCTTTGGAGCTCTTTATTTGGGCCTCGTCCACCGTTGAGATGCTAAGACAAAGATGAAAGCAAGTGAGAATCAGAGCAACCTATACTATTCATCACTAAAAGGAACAGAATCAAGTAAATAGGACATAGCCTGCGGTCTTTCAAAGCCTTTATCACGAGCTGTGAAGTGATGTTTTGCAGGCCTGTGTTTTGCCGCTCAGGCTGATTGTGTTGCACTGTAGTTGGAAAACACGCCCTTGAGGAGCAGCTGGCACAACATACCAAAGCTTGGTCGGCGGTGGATGTCTTCCTTGCAGGGAGAACTTGCAGCTTATCAGCAACCGCTCACTAAGGTGCAAAACGCATTCAGAGAGGAACAATTCACACATTTACATTCACACTGCTTGATTGAACTTACTGTAGCTCCTTACATCAGTGGATCATGGGCAGGTAACCAAGCTTTCGAGCGGCATGAGAGTTGCCTCACAATACACACCTGATGCACTGCCAGCATGTTTATAGTGAAGGAAGCTCCAGGCTTTTGATCTTGCAACACTCCAAACGCTCTTTTTCCACCTTTCCCAACACCCAGGACGCAGCTAGGATGATAGCTTTCACTTTTGTTTCTCTTTGTTACTGTGCTTGATAGCTTTTCTCAGCCTTCGAAGCCTTGGATTTCAAGACTCTCTCTCTCTCTCTCTCGAAATGGGCACGCATGCATGGCATGCAATGATTCCATATGATTCCAAGCTTGCCGCCCAAAATGAAAGATGTGCGTGTTGAGAAAACATGTGCTCATGATGTGCACATAAGACATGTCAAAGACATGCGCAATCGAGAAGTGTACCATGCACAACGCAGCTTTTATGGTCCAAAAGAATTCCGCATGGTAGCGGAGCCAAGGAAGGTGACTTCGTAGATTTCACCGGAGGCTCCAGGGAATTCTTCAAGCCGAGCAGGAGCCTAACCCGGGAGGGCCGAGCATAGCCATTTCGGCAATCGGTGCTAGTGACTTCTTGAAGTACAAGATCCCTGGCTACGTGTTGGTCCCCAAGGAGGTTGTTGTAGAAGAGAATGGTGGTCAATGGGGACATATGGTGAAGCCCTTGGTTCGCCTGCCGCGTCACCTGCAGGATCCCCAACTGCCGGACAGGTTGATGGGCAGGAGGCCATGCGCATGATCCAAGCAGCTGAATCTGCAAGTGTGGCCGCAAGGCTCGCAGCTGAGGCAATCCAGAAGAAAGGGAGCTCAGAAGATCGATCATGGTTTCGTGTGCTCCCAAAACCGAGCAATTTCGAGCCCAAATCTTGGGAGGATGAGCTGGCTATGTCGAGGGACTTTAGCTGGGGGCTAGAGCAATATTTAGCCTCCTGGATGCTGGCTTTACGGACGACTTCAAGGAGATCAGAGAGCATCCAGAGCGGCCTATCGATCCCTCGATTCAGACCGATGGGGAGAGGCAGAGAGGATCCTTTCTCTACGCCCTGTTGGCATTGCTTGTTAGACAGTGCCCACTCTTCCTGATCAAGCAGGTGAAAGAAGCTAGTGGCCTAGAGGCCTGTCGAATGCTGGTGCAATCGCTCGAACCAGCGAGCAAGAACCGCTCGTTGGGACTCCTGACAATGATTTTGGAATGGAGCCAGTTTGACATGAAGAAAGGCGGCATTCTTGCTCAGCTTCTTCGTTTGCAGGAGGCCTTCATCAAGTACGAGCGCACCGGCAGCAAGCTTGAGGACAGTTTGAAATTCGCCATTTTGATGAAGTGCTAAGCGGTCAACTGAAAACTTGGCTCCAGCTCAACGTGGCCGAGACTCAGGATTACAATCGACTTTGTGAAGCAATCACCCAGTATGACAACGCCACATTGAAGTGGAGCTCAACGATGATGCTTGGCCATGATTCAGGAGGCCCAGCACCGATGGAGATTGACCGCATTGGGCAAAAGGGCGATAAAGGGAAGAGCAAGGGCAAGAGCAAGGACAACTATATACATCAATGTCAAGGGCAAGGGAAAGAGTGATGGCAAGAACCCAAAAGGGAAAGGAAAAGGCCAACAGAAAGGCCAGGACTATGGCCAGGGCAAGAGTCAGCAGAAAGGGAACGCCAAAGGTGATGGACAGAAGGGCCAAAAAGGTAAGGGAGATGGAGGACCAGTCAAGACTTGCTTTACCTGCAGCAAACCAGGGTATCTTGCGCGTGATTGTTGGCGAGTACGACAGCAGCAGAGTCAAGGGGACGCTTCATTAACTTGGACGTCAACGAGTGGGAGCCAGGCCACTACAGCAAAGACTGCTGCTGTGAAGAGGATTGTGGAGGTGGATTCAGTTTCACGAGCCTTTGATCTTTGATCTACGAGGCGGTGTGCATGACGGCCAGGTGCGAATGATTCAGTTCTACCACCTGGACTATGGCAACTTCGAGGAAGAGGTTGAGAAGGAGCTGAACATCATGATGGTGCGTGAAGGGAGCAGGGTTCAGAGCTCCCAAGAGCCCTGTTCAATCATTGTGGACTCAGGAGCCGATGCTACGGTGCTTCCAACTTCGTTCCTGGCAGCTGGAGTGGAGATTGAGGAGGATGGACCAATGCTGCAGGACGCCCAGGGTGAGAAGATCGCCATCGATGGCTACAAGAGTGTCTGCTTCGTTTTCGAGGCGGAGAATGGGAAGGAAATTCAGGTTTTCGAGAAAGCTCATTTCTCAAGTGGCATTACCCAGCCTATCCTTTCATTTGGGAGGCTGATGGAGAGTGGATGGGGAATTTTAGACCATTCACTGGTGTATGGCATGGGGGAGCGGGGGATGAGGATCCCTCTACGCCTACAGAGCAAGAGTTTGGTAGCTGAGGGGCTGTCAGGACAATCTCAGCCGAGCCCCAGATCGTTCGTGCACTCGAGGCCAAGTTGAAGGATGACCTTGAGGAGAAGATCAAGTATTAAGTGGGCTGGAAGAAGGTTGAAGACAGGTGGATTGGAGTCCATTTGGGGAAGACCTTCCAGAACCCGCAGTATGTGGGAGACATCCCATCGACAACAAGCTGGAAGAGAACAACCTTGGCCAAGATTGCTGGGAGTTGGCAGCTTCTGGAAATGTGTGAGGGCTTGCACCGAGTTCTCAATCAGGAGGAGGTGATTGAAGGGGCCGCAGAGAATGTCATGGTGGTCACGATCCTCACCGAGGAGGACATGAGCGATGAGGATTTGGGCTTCGAGGTGGAAACTGGACTACATATGGAGGAGCAGCTGATGGTGATTCGAGATCATGAAGTAGCTGCGGAGAACATTGACCTTCCTGCTGAAGAGCCACCGGACGAGAGAGTTGAGGTGGCGGATGAAGGAGTGGTGCAGGAAGCTCAACTGGCGCTTGGACCAGGTATGCCCGACCACATCATGGTGAATGGAATTCAGTTGACATCGGTGAGTCCACTAAGGCAACTTCGAGCAGCCTGCAATTTCTTTGGCGTGAGCCAATCAGGGAGCCGCTTAAAGTGCTATCAGCGCTTGGTGAGCCACATGAAGGAGATGGAACTCAAAGCAGCAGCCGAGGCGGTGGCAACCGCGCAGCTCCAAGTGGCTCGACAACCCAAAGACCAACTGGGAATCAAGGTGCCTTCACAGGAGGAGCAGGACAAACATTGTCTAACACATGTCCCATACCAACCCTGGTGTGAAGCATGTCTAAAGCATCGAGGACGCCCTGATCGACGTCTAAGGACAGGGGCTTCAAGGCTGAGCGGCGTCCCGATCATTTCACTGGATCTATGCTACACCAAGGCCGGTGAGATCGACAGGAATCCACAACCCCGAGATCGAGGCCAACTAGAGGAGGAGGCAGTCATAGATCTGTATGGAGAAGATGAGGCCAAGGAAGCTGAAGAATTGAGGATCAGGGAGCTGAAGCCTGCATTGTGGTTGATCATGCCAGACAGGTGCTTGGTTCAGTCCCGTTGAAGTCGAAGGGACAACTCAGCCTGATGGCCCGGGAGATCATGTCATTCCAGGCCTTGGACATGTGGAAGTGGGCCTGTACGCTGACAATGGGCCAACCATGAGATCGCTGCTGCGGGTCGTACTGAACAGCAGACATTCAATGCGGCTCAGGACAAGGCTCTACACGACCAAGGTCCGTGGCTCGGCAGGGAACAGTTTGGCTGAGAATGCAATACAGCGTGTACGTTGACTCGCCTGTACCTTGATGTCCGATGTTGGCGAGAAGACGGGTCTGGCTTACAATACAAACCATACATTGTGGAGTTGTTGAATCGATATCAGGCCACCAAGGGCATCACCAGCTACGAACTGGCACAT